TTTTTTTTCTGGTACCGGGTATCGAACTCACGACCTTGCGCTTGCCAGGCAGGTGCTGTGCCGCTGAGCTAAATCTCCAGCCCTGGTGTTTTCTTAAATATCTGAATTAGCTGCTGTCTTTAAAAACCAAACAACTCTTTAAAAAGTCCATCACAGCTGCCCCTTTCCCTATGCACATACTTTCTGGTTTGCATGTCCCCCAGTGTCACTCTGAAGCAGAGCCCAACTCAAGCTGGGCTCAGCCCAGCTCACAAGGGCATTTAACTGAAACAGAGCCCAACAAAAAAAAATCATTCAACTAGATAATCTGATAGTTCAAACCAAATTCAAACTGAAAATGTATAAAACCTGAGCAGCGATGACCTAGTGTAGTTCAAGCTGCAGATGATCTGGGCATAGGGTCCTGGGGAGTCTGGAGGGCAGGCCCCATCTTGCAGACCACGTAAGGCCTCTTAGCCACACAGGTACATGAGCATGATCACATGGGGGGCACAGCAGATGGAAAAACGCCACACTCGTAAGATGGCTTTGAAGTATCCTTGTAACAGGATCGCTTTCCTGATGTCTAACTTGAGTTACAAACTCACCTATCTGACCCGAGCAGAGTCCAAGTCCACAGTGGGTGCTAACCTTTAGATAGACTCACACCAGATGTTCCTCTCGACCACCCTGTGCACACTGAGATTGCCGTATACTTAATATTTTGTATTAAAGGGCCTGCATAAACTTTTCTGACAAGAAATAAAGGTATAGACAGGCCATGACGACTACTGCAACGTTAGCCTGAGGGTTTGAGAACAGACCTCACAGTGAGGTAAAAATCAGACGCCACCTCCAAAGTGTTACCTTCATCGTATGAGAGGGAAGCTGTGGGCCAATAAACCCGGGTGCAGCCTGCTTGTTGGTGACAACCCGCTGACTGGTGACCGGGCGGGGAGAGGACTGGCCGGGGCTAAGGGTGGAATGAGTAAGTTCACCTCCATTTTTCACATCATGGGACCTGGGGACAAAGAATGAGAGGGCTTAGCATGATGAAGGGCATCTTAGTAGAGGCGGATTTACAAACTCAGTCCCCTGGAAAGCCACTGACTGCTTCTAAGTCACACTGCACGGAGCCATACGATGCATTAGCTCCTTTAGAGGTGTGGGTCAGTGTCGGGGTGCTCAGCTCAGGACACAAGGGCAGCTCGGTAAAGGAAACCATATTTTTAACTCTGTATTGTGAGGATGCTGCTATCAGAAGCCTCTTTTTTCTGTTTGTATTTTTAAATTAAAAAGATATACCACTGTAGAAAACCTATAGGAAAAGAACATGTCACCCCTCAGAGATGGTTCCCCTTTTATTGGACAGATCGTCCCCCATCTTTCACTCCACACCAGTGTCTAATATTTCAAACTGCTTTCTCTCCATATACACTCAGCACTTTCCCAAAGCATTAAAAGAAAGGTTTGTAACAATCACTCTTAGCAGGTGATGGGCAACTGAGCAAGATGCTGTCTCCAAAAAAAAAGAAAAAATCACTCTTAACAGCTGCATAAAATTTCAACACATCATTCTGCCACTGTTGAACATTTTAGGGTATTCTTAACCTTAAGCTATCATATTTAAAAGGGACATTTTGGGGGCTGGGTCATGGTTCAGTGGTATCGTTTGCCTCACTTGCTTATGGCTCTGGGTTCTATTCCCAGCATGGAAAAAAGAAACCAGAGGGGTGGGGGACACTGTGTGGTACACATCAGATTTTTTTTCCAGAAGTCGAACTGTAAGTCAGCTTGCAGCTGCAGGAGATCAGCCCAACTGCTGGTCCCAGCCTAGGCTGATGCCTAACCAGCACTGTGCTCAGCACTGGGGAGGTACGAGATAGGACTGTATAGGGTGCTCACAGCGCCCTTCTAAAGCCCTCCCCCCAGGGCCTCCAACTTCCCAGGTCCAGTCCGTCTGCTGCCAGCAGCATAAGCCACTCCTCCCGCTGGCTGTCACCTTTCCCTTCCTCTGTATCCATCAGCACTGAGTGCCAAAGAGCTGGAAGCTAACACAAGCTCACAATCCATACTCAGAAGTGGCTACCTGACTCTCCATGAATGCAGTAGTATAAACCTTAAACTCTGGTTTTTAAAAAATAACTCAAAACTGATTTGAATACGGGTGAGATGAAAAGAAATGACATTACAGAAAATATGGTAACTTGTTTTCATGACAATACCTGATATAAAAGAGCACGTATGCTTGTTGGCTGAGTACCGATCTAATATCACTAGTAGATACGATGGAGTCATTCATTTGATACCACAGGCCGTTGCTAGCCTGCAAAAGACAGCCGTAAGAAGGAAAGATAAGAGTTTGTCAGGTTAACACGGACAGAATAAAAAGAGTAAGAAAAAGAAGCATTCACACTTTAATTGTAAAACTCCCGACTCTTCCTCCCAAAGAATGCTAGTGCTTGCTGTCTTACAGAGTCTAGGTAAAAGCAATAGCAGTATCTACATGGCTTACTTTTATGTAACAGAAGTAATGACCCGCATGGCAATTAAATCCGGTGTGGACCAGCACTGCATACAAAACATAAATAATGGGTTCTCCATTTGGTTGAGACATGTATGGCCGAATATCAAGATACTCAGGGTATTTCACATCCTAAACAGAAATGGACAAAGGAAAAACAAATGTCATTTCTAATTGACATTGTTCAAGTAGGTTATCTGTTGCCCATAACAGCTACTGGTACTTGTGTCTTGGCTCCACATAAAAGGTAATTAATAACATTATCTATATACCTTAGCAATTTTTCCACCAGTAGAATTTGCAAAGCGTTTCAGAGAAAGCGTAAGAACATTAGACGATCTATGTATAGTAAACCTCTTTGAAGCTGGAACCATCTTTTTGCACCTTGAAGTAAACAGAAACGAAAGATTAATGTATAGATTTTTTGGTGTTTTAGTCTTTACCTTGCTATTTCTCTGAAACATCCTAATTTAAGATTTCAAAACAAGCACAATAGATGAGGAACACCACTCTTCTCCAAACTAACAGTAAAAATATTTAAATTAAAAACACTGTGAATAGCCAGGTGTGGTGGCATACACCTATAATCCCAACACTTGGGATGCTGAGGCAAGAGGATCACCACGAGGTCTACAGCAGCCCAGACTACAGGGTGAATTCAAGACAAGCATGAACAACAAAGATAGATCCTGTCTCAAAAAACAAACCAAAACAAAAAAAACAAAACTGGGAGAAACTGCCTATAGCATGACAGGAAAGGAAGGACAATTCTGAAACATCAGGATATACAGGGCACAAGTGATGTCAAGAACAGATTAATTTGGGTTGGGAGTCTAGCTCAGACGTGGAATGCTTAGGTAACATCCGTAAGGCTCTGAGTTCAACCCCTAGCAATGCAGAAAAATAAAATAATAGGCTAACTCAACTCAAAAAAAAAAAGCTAATTGATTTTTTAGGCTGGTATAATTCTGTGAAAGCAAACCCTTACCCAGATACAAAAACGAAAAAAAAGAATGAGAAGTGTCAGGAAAAATCCCTAATCTGATAAGAAATGCACCATCTTCTCCCAAATACTGAGTATTTGACAATAAAAGATTATTTAATATAGGTATCTGTGTCACCCACTACAAAGTGAAAATCTACTTAAAACATATGAAACAAGGATTCGTAAAACAGACTACCTTGACTGCCTGGAGAAATATATTATTGAGTAATGTAAATTAGAGGTTGCTGGCAGACTGTCCCCACCAGGGGTACCCACTGTAAGAAAGATCTTCAATTCTTTTGGGGGAGAAGGTGACCCCACCCTCCCTCCAGTCTCGTCTGACAGGAAAGTCAAGGAAGATGCCGCTTAACAGACACTGTCACAGCACTGCGGCATCGGGGTGGCAGCACTAGTTCTCCAAGGGCGCAGAGCTACCCATCTTGAGAGAGTGCGTATGTTCTGGCCTCTGGGAGACAGATAGCCGGGGTCTCCCAGATGGCACCAGAAGCTAAGGCAACCTAGTGGGCCATTCAAACACACCACGCTCTTCACAATCAAAGCTCCCTGTCACTTCAACTGGAGCAGCCAAATGAGAGACTGCAAGTCACCCCCCATCATACTTGCTACACTTGTAGGAGTTTTCTCCATCGAGCTGTTCCGGCTTCACAAACTGCTCCAATGCCTTGTTAACGCTCGGAGCAGCCTGGGAGGAAAAAGCACAAATACGCGCACTGTCATGGTTTGTGAGAGACAGAGAGAGCAAGCAAGCAGAAGACTCAGAGAAACAAGTAAGAATTTTTATGAAAAAACAAAAGTCTTAATGGGTATGGTGCAGCTGAGTTCCTAGCTACTTGGGAGAGTGAGGTGGGAGGCCTGCAAGTTTGTACCAGCCTGAGCAACTTAGATTCAATCTCAAAAAAATTTTTAAATGGGCTGGGATAGCACAAGACTCTGGGTTCGATTCCTGGTACCAACAAAAAAAGAAAAAGAAAAACCAGGATTCCTCCCCATTAAAAAAAAACAGATTAAAGTGAACATAAATATATAATGAGGTAGCTCACTGCAGCTTTACTCAGAATACTATAAAAGTACAAAGCAACAAGGAACTATATCCACCTACTGGACCACCACTCACTGCCCAAACACGCTGATGTGGAAGGTCTCCAAGCAGAAGGAAATGAAAACAGCAAGTGGATAAACAGACTAAGGCATAATCCCTTTTAAAAATTTTTCTCCTTTTTTCCTTTTTGCAATCCTGGCGATCAAACAGAGGGCCTTCACACTGAGCTATTGTCCCAGCCCATCCCTTATTTTTATTTTAAACAGGTTCTCACTAAGTTGTGCAGTTTGGGTTGAACTTGTGCTGCCCTGTCTCAGCCTCGCAGAGTCCTGGCAGTACACACGTGCAGCACTGTGCTCTGCTCATGGTCTCATTTTCATAAAAAGGACCTAATCTATTCTGGGACAGTGCATATCAGATGACCAAGAGCAACAGTGCTGAAGGGCAGACTTTAATATATCTGCAATGCTTGTGCTTTTCATCATAAGCACGTGTTACATCTGTTATCAGAAAAACAAAAGCTTAAGAATAACAGAAGTATAGTTCAGAAAATGCAAGGTGCTAAACCAATTTCTAAAAAATAAGAACCACCTAAGGTTTGCTAATGTAAGTATCAAAACTTGGTTTAAGATTTACTAAGTGAAAAGTCAAAGAATAAAAAAGATATAAAACAACCACAACAAAACTATTAAATTTACCTTTATCTCCAATGTAATATCAAGATATGGATCAAAAGTATCTGAAACGCCCTTGCAATTTAAACATTTGACTGAAAAAAAAAAGGCAAAAGATAAGCAAAGTGTAATCAATATGGCAGTCTCAGGTACTGAAATTACAGATTACACATACTATTTCAAAGTAAAAAAATTAAAACAGTATAACTTTTCTTCTACTAGATTGGGAAAAAAGTTAATCTTATACACCTTATAGGAAAAAGTCTCATGAATGTGCCACTTGTACACTACTGGATGGATATAAACTGGTATGATCTCTTAGAATGTCAGCATAAAAGCTTAAAATACATCTACGACTCAAATTCTAATACTAAGAGTTTATCATGTACACTTTTACATAGAAACAAAAAGCGTGAGTACATGGGTGTTGTTCAATAAGGCACTGGTGGTAACAACATCATGGAAAGCTAAGTATCCATCAATAGGAGAGTAAAACGAATAGACACTACTACAGCTATGACCTGTTAGACCTATATATGCTCAAATAGAAATATTGTTACTAATGTTAAGAGAAAAATAAAAGTATTCTATAGTTGGCTCTCAGCTTGCTCACGAATAAGAGACTATCAGAAGGATATACTAGGAACTGGTACAGGGGCTGCCTCTGGGGAGGAAGAGGGAGTCTCTACTTTTCCTTATTTCTAAAATTTGCATTCTAATATCACAGGCATGTGCCACTTTATTGACTTGTGAACAAAAACTCACCTCTAGATCTTAGATATCCTCCAAATATCTGACAAACAAGTGTGGTGGCCTGGGTGTGTCTATCTAATCTGAAAAAGACAAAACAGTGATACAAGAATTCTGCCAAGTTATAGATGCTATAATTAGATTTTAAAAGCATGTATACTTATAAAAGAACAATAATTTAAAGAGGAGAGCCATAGAAAATAAAAAATCAGTCTTTATGGTACCCAGAGATCAGCTTTTCCTGGAGGAACACAGTGAGGATCTGGAGAGGAGGATGGAAGAAGCCAAATTGTGAAGGGGCTTTGAAATCAAGGCAGGAATGTGGCTCAGAAGCAAAGCAGCAGGAGGAAGACACCCTCAGCAGGCTTGTGATACCGCATGGGACTTGGGGAAGGTACAGCAGGCAGAGTCTGTCATCATCCAGACCATGAGGGGCAGGACAGTGAGTGGAATGCAAAGGGAGGTACTGGTACCAGGTGCGTGGGCAGTAGCGGGTGGGTTAGGAATGTTACATAACTGTCTCACCCATCCTTCTCTTGAGTCTGCATTTAGATTTTAGGAAGAAGCTACAGAGATTGGTAACAGAGCAGGCACGAGCAAGAGTACAGCAAACATATATATAAGGCTGGAGATCAACAGAGAATATATCTGGCACAATTAGAAAGGAGAAGCAGGTACTTCTAATCTGCCAAGGCATCCTGACACTCGGAAGTTAAAGAATAGCAAAACCACTGTTCATTTCCTGGTATCTATAGTTGAACAAATTTAAAATGGGAAAGTAAGCACATCTTTTTAAATTTTAGTCATTTTAAAATAATGCAAATCAGAGAAATGAAAGAAGGGAAAAATACGTATATATGTATACACAAGATAGCTAAGATAATTGCACTGCTAATTTCTATTGCTTTATTGAAAGGAACAGTTGATATTTAATTGTTTGATCAATCTTACATACCTATATTTGTTTATTTGAGTAACCAATTTGAAGATAACAAATGCAATACAACAATCATTGTTAATTTCCTATCATCTTATCTGAAATTCTGTATTGTTTTTATGTTCCTTTGTTTATGTCTGTTGTGAAATACGTTTTGGTTCTTTTATCTTTAAAATAGAAATAAAAAAATAATAATAATGCAAATCAGGTGGAGAAGGGGCGATGTAAAGCCAAAAGGTAAAGCAAACAGATCTGTGTATTTTCAACATTAAAGGCAAAACAAGCATGATAAGCCAGGGATGTAAACTGAAGAAATGACTTGTACTCACTTATTGCTGCCATTCAAGCATGCTTTCTGCATAGCGTCAACAGTGTACTGAAGAAATTCATGGGCATCTTCTTGGTTTCCAAAACGGAAGTGCCTAGCTATACCTAGAAGTTTTAAGTAAACACAAGGCTTTATCATTACACATTAAATGCCTAGGCTACAAAGTTACATTTCATGTTACTCAGAAAACCCCAAATAATTACACTTAACGAGGAAGTAGCACTAACACAAGCACCACACACTTTCACCAAGAGCCCACAGGAGCTGCAGGTCCTGAAAGTCTGGGAGAAGCCACAGAATGACTCTGTGTCTTTACCAAGTTAATACAGTTCCACTTCAATAAAGTCCACATTGGTTCTATAGACTCAGGTTTGTCCAAAATGTTAGGTTAGTGCACCCATTTTAAATATGACACTCAAATCCGTAAGAGACCTGTGCAGAACACAAATATCCAACCTACTCAATTCCGCACCAGTGATCACAGAACAAGTCATGTTCTCAGCTGTACAGTAACACTTCAGTTCTTCTAAATCACTAAGCAGTTGCAAGAAAGTATTTTTAAAAATTAGAAATACAACACTAGCACAAATGTACGAATAGCACAAAACCTATTAGACATTCAGTTTTGTAGGAATATATATATGTATTAGCTTAAACCATACAAAATTGCCAATATTCCACCAGTTTTGACCTATAAAAACAACAATTCTATGATTCAACTGTATGTGTGTATACATGTACAAATTCAGAGCAATGACACTACACTAGGTTGTTATTCATGCCTGCCATATACATATATATATATATATATATATACACATATATATATGTTTAAAAATAAATGTGTAAATAATGAAAATAATCAAAACTGTCCTGGCTAAAATTTTGCCAGAACCCAGTATGTTTTAAACATTTCTGCACTGTCCACTCTGATCCATCAATAATTCCAAGGGCCAATTCAATCCTTAGCAGCTTTTAAGGCAAAAGGATTATACTTATCACTATAAAATTATGCATCTCTATAATGACCAAGCTAGATACCAGATTAAGAGTGAAAAGTATTTTTTGTTCATACGCAATTTTGTTACATCTTGGTTAACTAAAATGATGTAAAAGTGAATGCAAAATGCATATAGAGCCTGACATGGTGGTACAAGACCATAATCCCAGGTTGAGGGAGGAGGATCTCAAGTTTAAGGCCATCCTAGGCTACACAAGGTAGGGAGCAGGTACATGGAAAATACTTAAGAAAATTTCATGCAACCTACTTAGAAATTTAAAATTAAAAAGACGGGAGGCTTAGGCAGGAGGATTGCCATGAGTTCAAGTCCAGCCTGCACTACGTAGTGAGACCCTGTCTCAAAACAACAACAACAACAAAAAAAAAAACAGAAAAAAGAAAAGTGAAGCTTGTTCATTAATTTAGTTAGGCTATGGGTATAAATTTTTAAGAGTATAAATATCTTTATTTTGACAATTTTTATCACTATATATAATGCAGGATTCATTTACCAAATTAAAACTAATTACAAATCACTTAAACCTGTGGGACAATATCAGAGTTGGACTACTCAGCACAGAAATCCAACTATATGACAAATGGCATCTGTAATCATTTTATTAACAAAGTCTTAAATCATTTAAAATTTGCTTCTATTAAATATAATCTTTTTTACTATACTATCATCTCTACAATTTGAATAATACTTTATATAGTAAATATTTTACTAAACATCTGTTACTAATTAAAGACATATGCATGTATAATACAATACATGTGGTTTATTTTGTAATAAACTTTGGGCTTTTTTTAATCACCTAGGCCATTAAGACTAACTAGTTAAAAGCCAGGCATGACAGTGCATGCCTGTAGTCCCCGCTATCCAGGAGGCTGAGGTAGGGGGATCACTTACGCAACAATATTAGCCCTCATAGCAGGAAAAGATTACCTTGCCAAAAAAATACTTCTCTGGTTGATACTTACGCTGCATTTCATTGATGACAAACATGGGTTTAATAACATCCCCAGGATTATTAAGTGCCTGGGTGATATGGGCTTGCATTGTACACATCATACAAAACCCTTCTGCATGACCTGAAAGATAAGATGACAATGCCCCATGTCAGCAAAATACAACTAGACAGTAAATCATAAATGTACAGCATATTCCTGAAGTGAAATAACAGTAACAGCTGCTACGTGTCTGCACTGACTTATCTACTTTTATTTTCATTTAATTCTCTAGAAACCTAAATGATAGGTATATATTGGCTCTAGTTCACAAGAGGAAAAAATGCTCAGAGAGTTAAAAATATGCATAAGGTCACACAATCAGACTAACTTATACTTTTCCTAGTTTCAAAGGTTGTGTTCTCAGTGACTCTACACTGGAAAAGGAAGTTTTTCTTATACTACCATTAATTTCAAATGGTCAAAGAATGTCTCCCATAACAGGAGTTAGAAACATCTACATAATTCTATACAGGGGCTGGGGATTTAGCTCAGCGGCAAAGCGCCTGCCTGGCAAGTGCAAGGTCGTGAGTTCGGTTCCCGGTACCGGAGAAAAACCAAAAAAAAAAAATTCTGGCTTTCCTGGTGACATATCAGGATCTCTATTACATTTTCTTCTTCTTTTTAAAAACAGTCTTTTAAAAATGTAATGAATGATTGCTACTTCACATTAAGTGGTTAGAGAACAGGTACACTACTAAATATCTTACAAAGAACAAGATATCCCCTTACAGCAAAGAATTACCCAGCCCCAAACATCAATAGGTTCTGCCTAGACAAAAGCTGTTCAGAACTTACATAATAAAGCTTTAAAATCCTTGAAAGGATCAAACTATTTCTAGTTAACTAAATCCAACAATGCAGAACTGTGGGATGAAAAGCAGAATCTCTGAGATGAAAAATACACTATAAATGATTAATAACAGATTAGACACTGCAGAAGAAAACTTTAGTGAACTTGAAGACATTAATTATGGATAGAAGATAGCTATAACACACCAAGAGAAAAAGAAACCTCAAAGTAACAGTAACAAAGTGTATCAGTGAGCTGTGGGACAATTTGAAGTTGTCCATGATATTCATTTAAATGCAGTCTGAAAGTAAAGGGATGGAACAAATACATCAAGAAATAGTTATTGGGGCCGGGATATAGCTCAGCGGCATAAGCGCTTGCCTGGCAAGCCTGAGGTCATGAGTTCCATTCCCCGTACAAAAAAAAAAAAAAGAAAAAAAGAAATACTTATCTACCAAAGAACAGCACAAGGACAATTTTTGGGGTGATGGAATGATTTTGTATTCTGACTGAGGTGAGGTGGTTTACACAAATGCTATACATGTGTTTAAATTCAAAGAAATTTACACACAAAAAAGTTAATTTTATTCTGTGAAATCTATGCTTTTTTAAAGGACCAAAAGTTATCACCATTTCATACTGGGACACACACATATTGAAGAACCTCAATAAACCCCAAGTAGAACAGCTTAAGACAAGCAATAAAATCTTAAAGCCAGCAAGAAATAAAAAAAAATTCCATATATAGAAAGGAAGGGAAAACTGACAATAGACTTCTTGTCAGAAACAATGCAGACCAGCAGATCATGCACTAACACCTTTTAAGCATTAAAAGAACAATAAGATGTCAATATCTTTCACAAAAATGAGATTTCCACTTCTGGGAAGAGGAAACAGTAGTTTTCCCTGTTCCTTCTCCCATACACAACAAAAATCCTCAGAACTGTACATTCAACAAACACTAAGAGACTCTGAAAGGTAGAGAAAAAAAGACACAACAGGGATCTCAGGATCTCAGCATGCCATGGTGGTGGTCTCCCTAGTTTTGTTTGTGCCTCAAATATTCCATAAAGTTGGAGCATGGTGTGCACGCCTGCTCTCTAGGAAGCTGAGCCAGAGGACCACAAGTTAGAGCCCAGCCTGGACAACTTAGCAAGACCTTGTTTCAAAATAAAAAGTGAAAAACAAGCTAGGATATAGCTCAGTGGCACAGCACCTGCCCGATAAGCGCAAGGCTGAGTTCAACTGTTGGTACAAAAAAAAAAAAGAAAAAGAAAAAGCAGTCAATGTACCCAATTAACTACAAAATAACATAGCTGATTTTACCCTGACATCCAAACCAGATAAACATATTGCAAAAACAAAAAATATCTCTTAGCAGAGATATAAAAACCCTTTCAGGACCTATTAACAAATAAAACTAGGTAATCTATATGGAGAATTATACCCTATGACCAGAGTTTATTCCAGGTAGGCAGCGATAACAGAAAAATCAACCAATGTAATTTACTGCATTAACAGGCTAAAGAAGAAATATCACATGATCCTATCAATTTGATGCAGAAATCATTTGACGAAAATCAATATAAACTCAGGTTAAAAAAAATATGAATCAGAAAAATAGGAATAAAGACAACAAATTGAGTGCTTTCCCCCTAAGATCAGAAAAGCAGCAAAGATGTGTCTCCTCAACACTCTTACTCAAAGAGTGCCAGAAGATCCAGCCAGTGATATAAGAAAATAAAAGAAGGAAATAAGGCAAACAGACGAGTAAAGTATAACTATACTGATTAGCATATGGTATGACGTGACTATGCATGTAAAAATTTCAAAGGATCTATCCAAAAAACAGAAACAAAATAGCCTGGAGCTAACAAATGACTTCATCAAGGTCACAGTGTACAAGATCAACATGATGATGACTTCAAACAAAATCAAATGTATCTCTACATTCCAGCAAGAACTACATAGACATCAAAATTAAAAATAAAATGCTATTTACAACTAAAAACAAAACAGGAGGAGGAGAAAGAGGAAGAAAAAGGTATAAATCTAACAAAACAAGACAACTCATATGTAGGACATGTATTCTTTCTCTTGCCATCCTGGTGCCAGTACTAGGTTTTCAACCACACCCTACTTTCATTAACCACAAATGTGATAGGAAAGCTATCTGTGGGGAATGAATTATGGACTTAGAAATCGATGGCAAATGGCATATTCGTTCTATAATTTAAAGCCCCTGGCATAGTGAATACGTCCAGGTGATGAGGTTCTAGGTGATTTTTCTTGGTTTAAGTTTCTCCGTATATACCAAATACTTTACAAGTACCACTTTGTTCTTTGGATGGAAAACAGTTGTAAAACTATCAGTTTTAAAATTCTCCATTTATAAAGAATTATTCAAGGAGAAACTAAGGAGGTCTTTTGCTTATTTTATCCAAATCACTGACAAATAGCACCAGAGCATACATACACACCTGAGCATCCATTCAGAGCAAAGAACAGGGTAACTTCATTTATAAAGGATGACAGATAAGCAGGATAAGCAGGAGGTCAAAAATCTCAAAAATGGATATTCTAAATTCTAAATTTCTCTAATCAACATTGAGCTGCTTCTATTTAAAGACATCTTCATATGTTTTAACTGATTTTCTGCCCTGCAGGTTAAAGATGGAGCTCTCAAATGCTAAAAGCAAAGCCCTGCATGAATTCCATCAGGTTGGAGCAGTAGAGAGTTCTTCTCCTCTTGGGCTCATAATCCTGAAAATAAATCAAGCCTTTCAATGAATGCCAGAGGCAGGATTTCTTAACTCTTTTTGTTCCAACTGTTAATGTCAAACATTACGTCACATTTTTAACAAGTGTTAAGAACTGGAGGCGTAGCTCAGTGGTAGAGCACTTGCCTGGCATGTGCGAGGTCTTGGGTTCAATCTCCAGCACAAGAAAAATGAAGACAAAAACAATTTTAATAAGTATAGAAAACTATGAGGGGGTTAGAAATGCTAAATGATGGTAAAATAGGTATCCTTTCAAATACCCACCCTCAGGTCAAATTAGAAGCTAATATGCTTCTTATGCAAGCTAAATACAAATCATGGATTCTAAAAGAATAAACCAACTTCTTAATCATCACAAAACTTGACTTAATTCTCTTCATTTCAGAGGGAAAAAATGAGTAGGTTAGCATACCACAGTCCACACACACACCACAGCACATAGCACTTACATGTCTTGGAGTGTTCATGTGATAACATGTAATTGGCGAGAGGTGGTGTGTATGTCAAACACTGCAATGCTGCATTGGCAAAACAGGTGTTGCCCAAATTCTGAAGCCCAGCGCCAACTCTATGAGTTTGCTGCCACTTAAGACAAATCTTCTCTGAGGGAAAAAGAATTTTCTGTGGCGGAGCAATGCCATCACCCAGGGCTAGAAAAATAAACAGCAAAGATTTAAAAAACCAAACCTGGCGTGCTCCTAAAGCCAAATAAATAGCAATGCTTGATCAAAATTCTAAATCTCATTATGACTGACAGAAACACAGGGTAGAAGGGGACATTTAAAAAGACAGAACCTACAGTAAGGTCCAAGATATATATAACAGATACTGTGAAATGGGAAAAAATTGTTCAAAAGGAAAAAGGAATTAGGATGGGGGGAGGAAAAAGGAAGAAAGGGAAAAGAAAAAATACAAGGTAGTTATGTTACTAGTTTCTCTTAGTTCACTAAAAAGAAACATTTGTGCTAACGCTATTTGGAGAATTTTTTATGACTATGTCTTGTACTCTGAGTACTACTTTAAGGATAACCATACTCAACGTATTAACTATTGTTATTCTATTACTTTGTTATGAAACTTTGTTTTATTTTTCCATTAAATATAAATAAATAAATGAAAATAAAAAGAATCTAGAACACGAGACGCTAAATGATTTAGTTCCCTTGATAAATATATTGCAGGAAAGGAAAAGAAAAAAAATACATATATACAAATACACAAGATAGCTAAGATATATACTACTTATTTGTATTAGTTCATTGAAAAGAAAGGTTTGTGCTTATATTGCTTGGTCAGTTTTTCATGCCTGTATCTTGTAATCTGAGTAACCAACTTGAAGATAGCAATATGCAATGTATTAATCATTGTTAATCTTCTATTATCTTGTTTTAAAATTTGGTATCACTGTTTTTTTTTTTTTTTTAATTTCAAACACAAAAAGTGGGGAGGTTTACAAATTTAAAAAAATTTCACAGATATATCCACAAATGCAAAGTGCAGACTGCACGTGGATATTACTTTCAATGACTAATTACTGAAAACAATATATAGCACAATTTACAGTCATCCATAATAATGCACGCCTGTAATCCCAACAACTCAGAGGCTGAGGCAGGAGGATTACAAGTTTTAGGACAATCTAGACAACTTAGCAGTTTAGCAAGAGCCTGTCTGAAAATAAAAAAAAGCTCAGCACTTCCTGGGTTCAACTCCTAATACTCTAGTACTGGAAAAAAAATTATGTGACACCTAGAGATATCTGAATATTGACTAGAACTTTAATGTAGACATTTTTAACTTTTAAGAAGTATTCTACACGTATATACACTAAAATATTTATAAATGAAATATGAAATACTGGACTTCATTTAAAATATTGGGGACAGGGTCAGTGTGTGAGCTGGCCCGTAAGTTAAATGTCAAAATGGCTGATGACTTCATGAGAGGTCATTACCATTACTTTTTCATAGCTACTTAACACAATCAATAGAACATATAAGATAAACTAGTTCCCTTGAACATTTGCTTTGGATGTTTGCATTCAGTGCCACCACCATTCTTACCATCACATCAGCTGAGCTTCCCCAGGTGTCACACAGTTTCAGTTCTGATGGTTGGTACTGTCGTCATCCCCATTTACCACTAAGAAAATAGGCTTTGAACCAGACTGTTACTTGTACGTGTACTATATACAATGTGTCCTAAAAAGGTTGGTACCTGTTGTTAAGGCTTTTACACAGATTACTAATAACTAAGTGTGCTAACAGAACTCAGGTGATATTGAAAAACAACTTTACTGTAGGAAAGTTCAAAATCACCAGAAGCAAAACTAATTTTTTTTTAATCTTTTTTGAGATAGGGTCTCCCTATACAGTTCAGGCTGGCCTTGAGCTCACTCTGTAGCCCAGGCTGGTCTCAAACTCGCAACAATCCTCCTGCCTCAGCCTTCTGAGTGCTGGGATTACATGCGTGTGCCACCACGCCCAGTCACAAAACTAATTTTTCAAAGGCTGGCTAGTTTCTTGGTGCTATGAAAGGCAAAGATGCCCTATAGATAGTTCTCTATTTGAAGAGATATTAATGATTATTTAAGTGGGCTTTGGCTTGAGAGGGAATAGAGAATAAAATTAGGCAAGGAAAAATGAGTCGGTAGAGAGTAAGACAAGCGCAGAGTAAGGAGAGAAAGGGAAGGCCCAGCAGTGAGGAGCTGGAGCCTTGCAGAAAGATGGTCTGTGGAAAAGTCTTGCCGGTGAAGCCAAAGGACCTCAAACCTCTATGTATAACATTCAATGAAGCTGTTTGCGTTTTGTGATAAAAGCTTCCCTTTGCACACACTCAAAACACCTTTAACAAACCACACCACCCTTTCCCACACCAAAATATCAAACTTACTAAGAGGACTCAAAACAATATAAGGATCAAATTATTCTACACTGGACAACATTCCAATTAGGAATTAATTCTAGTATTACCTTTCTTTGCATTTCAAATCTTCAAGACTTTAATTCCAAGTCTTAAAAGTACCCCAGTTGAAAGTGTCAATGTTTCATTTACCTGGGTAAATTTTAACAAATGTAACTGTGTTTACATTATCTGCTCCTTTCCAAAGACAGATACTGTATCTACTTAGGAAACATCATAACTACTGGTTAACTGAAAATATAAGGCTTGCTCATCTCCATTCTCTCCCAGATAGTTTATCCTTCCAAAACTTAGAAATGCAAGAAACTATTCACATTTGAGTAACTAAAAAAATAATACCCTGTTATGATACATATGTTAATAATGAATGCTTACTCATTAAAAGAAAATCATTTCCATCATACAATGCTGGCCACCCACATGGCAGTATCTCTTACAAAATAAGCCCCTCTCTGAAACTACCAACCCACTGACCACATTTATACGGGAGTTTCCGGCAGTGATTTAAAAAATAGTACCTTGATCCTTTGGTGGTGATGGTTCTGACTTATCAGGTACAGCTGAATTTGAATAAACAGCACCAGGTACTGGTCCTAAAGAAAGTGTGTGATTGGAAACATCACTTAATGAAGACACAGCACTCCAGCCGGCAGAGCCTGCATCCATGTCTCCAGTAGAGACTGCCTCGGAACAGCCAGGCTGATTCTGACAGGCTGCTGGGTCTGAAGACTCAACTTTGTCAACTATGGTCATTGTTCAAGTCTGCAAAAGTCAAAAGGCACACACATTTGTTTCATAAAGTGAGAAAAGTACTCCACTCACCCTGCCGTTAGATTTTGGAATGTTTTCTAGGCATTTTAAGTTATTTCCAAATATAAAAACAACAATTTTGTTTTTTGTTTTTTGGGGTTTTTGGGGGCAGTACTGGGGATTAAACCTAGGGTCTCACCTATGCCAGCCAAGCACTCTACCACTGAACTACATCCTCAGCCCTCTACCACTTTTTAATAATTTTCTTGGGACATTTAGAATCATGCTGCTCCAAAAATATCAACAATTTTATTTCAGAATCTTCAGTACAGTATTCCATGCTTCCTAAAAGTATATTTCAGCTTTTAATCTGGTACTTCAATTTCCACTTCTATATACACTCATATTTACTAAGTACCTACTTGTATCTCTAAGAAGTATTTACTAATAAAACTAAATTGTCAGCTCACATATAATTTCTCAGAAAAAGTCTTGACTACATGAAGAGAAAAACTTGTTTTGATTTTGAGCTTAAAGTCCAAAATGAGAACAGGCATGATGGTGCACATCTGTAATACTAGCATCAAGGAGGTTGAGGCAGGAAAATCTCAAGTTCAAGGCCAGCCTGAGCAACATAGGGAGTTCAAGGCCAGCCTGGACTATGCAGTAAGACCCTGTTCTCAAAACAAAAGTATGAAATGACACTGTATGAAATACATTACACTCTGAAGAAATTATAATTATAGAAAGTCTCATTTTCAGAACAAGTATTTTTCTGAAAAGGTTCATTTATATGGTATTACAACTTTTTAAATAAAACTTGTAGGATTTGGACATCAAATGAGCACAAATACATGTTACAAAAGTACTTAATTCCAATTTTCTCTCTGAATCTTAGTTTAAAACTAACTGAACACTATGCTGGGCATTACATTAATTGATGGACAAACATTAATTCGTTTTATTTTCATAACAAACTATAAAAGATCAGACAATAATCCACAGGGTCTATAAAATCCATCAATTATACCTCAAACTAGTCAGCAACTGGAACCAGAAGCAACCAGGCTTCCTCTTGGCTAGACCATCTACTCTACTGAGTACTTTTAGTAATGCTTCCAAAATTGCCCAGGCAGCCACACCCAGGTGTGCCACCAACTGCAGAAAGCCCTTCAGGAGTGCCCCAGCGGCCACGCACAGCACCTTGTCCTAACACCTAGACCTGGCACTCCGACCTAGTGACCTCCAGCACTTCCCACGTTATGTTCCCACCCTGCTGAGTTCCTGTTTAGTCCCTGCTCTCCCTGGATTGCACACATGCTGCTCTTTTTTACCTACTTTCCTCCCTAACTTTCCCGCGCTGGCCAGTTAACATTTCTACTGTTCAGATCATTTCCTCTGGGACACTTTCCTCAGCAACTCCTTTCCCCAAAGATGGAGTGAGAAACCTCTTCTAAAAGCTTCTCCAGCACCCTTGTGCTGATTTGTACGGCAGCACTTCAGCATTTACTGGACAGCTCTTTTACTTGGGGATCTCTATCATGTTTTCTTATCTCCCCACCTGATGTAGAGAAAGCTTTACCCACGTGTTCAACAAATGAATGAACAGAGATTGTGCAAACAAGAAAGTAACTAGCACTTGCTGTTAGCACCAGGTTAAGCTGAGTGATTTATATACAGCATCTCATTTGATCTTTCAGAAAACCTGCACTCCACTTATACTGAAGTTTGAGCTGCCTTTGAAATACCCATGTATTTCCCACTTCAGCAAACATTACCATGTACTTGCTGCTCACAGTAAGTTAAAAAGAAAAAGCATTAGTTTAAGGGAAGATTATCACCCAAAAGTACAACTTTAAAGTTTGGGACGCTAATGTACAAATAGAAAAGAAATGTTAGTTACATCTCTAACTAAAATAAATGTTTTAAAATTTTAACTGAAAATACATGACTCTCATTCAGGAACAAAGCTTGAGTCTATCTAATAAAGTTCACACTCTCCTCACCTAACAGCAGATATTGTGGAAACATGGGGACAGGAGTTAGAAAACAAAAGAGAGGGCAGAGAGAGAAAAAGTCAAAATTAAGTAATAAAAACGTTAATCTAGTCTTATTTAAGACAATGTAAAATAGCGAAAATCTTGCTTTTTCCCGAGATGAAGATTACTTCCAGACAATGATTAACAAATAACCAAATGAGGGGCTGGGGATTTAGCTCAGCGGCAAAAGCGCCTGTCTGGCAAGCGCAAGGTCGTGAGTTCGGTTCCTGGTACCAGAGAAAAACAAAAAACAAAACAAACAAACAAAAAAAAAAAAAACCAAATAACAAAATGAAACCATTCTATCTGCTCCAGGAAAACGAAAACAAAAATTAAAAAAAAAAAACAACTCTTAAATGAAAAAAAAATTTTTTTAAGGAAAACACAACTCATCAGTAGTCACATCAGTATTATAAATTTGGAAATACAAACAAAATTCATTCGTTTGTATATTCAGCCAATGAAATCTTACTCTAAAACCATCAGGTATCAAAAGAAACTCCATCTACTCCATCTGACACAAATAACCTTTCTTACAACCAATGTTAAGATTAGAATAGTTCCATGTTCTTTATTGTTAGTAAAGTTTCTAAACACTACTGCTACAAATATTAGGACTTTAAACAACTACTTCAATGAAAAGTTTAACATTCCTCTTAACACTTCCTAAAGATATACAAAGTTACAAAGCATGTTTTAAAAAACGGCAACAAGGGCCGGGGATATACCTTAGTGGCACGGTGCCTGCCTGGCAAGCACGGGGTAGTAAATTCAATTCCCGGCTCCAAAAAACATAAAAAATAAAAAACAGAAACATGAATCCAAGTTTGATGCATGTGTAAGAATAAGACAAATCAACTTCATAAATGTTTCCTGTGCTTTAAGTACAATCTTTTACTCAACAGCCTTAAAACCCTTGGTCTCTTACAGAAAGGTATGTCTACCTTATCATGACCAAATGCTGGAATGCATTATTCTTTTTTCATTTTTAAAAAAATATCACATTTAAACAAAAACTGTTACATTCCAGTTCTTCATAAGCAATGTAATCCAGGTTTTTGTACCATTTCTGATTTAAGAGAGACAGTTTTAAAACGGACACAACACTGATTTTAATTATAGTTAGGTAAACAAAAAGCGACTAACTTTAAACCTTTACAATGTATCGTTTCTGTATCATTCATTCAATAATACAGAAAAGAAAGTGAAACTGACCCTAAGTAAAAGCAAGTAACTGAAGTATCAGCTACCACTATTCATACACCCTATACACTTTGAATGAGTAGCACAGTAAAAAGTGAATTATTTAGATTCCAAAAACATGCGTGAGAACCTGCAGTACGGTCGCTTCTTTGAAAAAGAGGCGTTAACTAAACAGTTTTCAACCGCTTTCATTGTTACAGGAGTATATTTACTTGAAATAATCAACATGTTTTCCCATAAACAAGAAAACCCTAAGCCCCCCACCAACATAAAAGAGCTATTACGAAAGTAATCTCAACTACTTTCACTATAGAGGTTAAAGTCCAAGATGATAAAACTTCTGTCCCATCAAATTTTCATTTCAAACATCTGAAACTGATGCTCCCCCCCTCCCGACTACCCGCAAACCCCGCAGCCTCTTTTCCAGGTAAGTTGGCTCTTCCTGCCCCAAAGATAAAGAGCGACGGAGAGGCACACATGCTTTTGGGGACGCGCCGCCCGCCACCCCGCCTGCCTCCCCTCCGCGCCCGCATCCCTCGGCGTGGGCAGCTCGGACACCGGGCGTGGACCCAGGTGGGCGACGCCGCGCGGGCC